GTTCACAGTCTCTCTTCCTAGTAATTGATAGCGAGTTTGTATGGACTGCTTTTTATGTCCCTCAGGGTTTTCTGAGAGACAACTATGGGTGCCAGAGATAGCAGGTCCCTCAGAGTTAATGTCTTCCCAGAAGAACTATGGGTTATAGCACCCATAAAACTTCCAAAACCCCAAGTAATTTGGGTTTTATAGCCACAATCTCACTACTAGGTAAATGTCTTCAGGACCAAACAAATGAGGCAAGTGTTATAGCCCTCGGTAAATCAGACATGATAAAATAGATCAATGGGTTCAGTAGCCCAGGTTGGACAAAGAGTAGGCTAGAGAGTGCCCTGGAGGATCACTGTTTCTTCACATTGGTGGATGAGAAAGTCTGACGTCCTTCTGACCGAGGTTGGCCAATTTGGAAAGCCAGCCCTCCTCGACACTGGGGCCATTTCCCAGCCCACAGCATGAGGGGACTGTCAGTTGTCCCAAGCTGGTGACTTCATGGTGGCCTAAACCTAAAACTGGAAATCATTTTGTTTCAAAACCTTAAAATAGCCTGTGTGTGACAGCACATATTAATTAATAGTTCAATTAATTTTACATGAAAATGCTTTTATTTTTTATTTAGTTTTTTGAGACAGAGTCTTACTACGTAGCCCAGGCTGACTTCAAACTCAGGATCCTCCTGTCACAGCCTCCCAAGTGCTGTGGATTATAGGCATGCATCACCACACCACACCCAAGTGAAACTGATTTTTTCTTTTGAAAAGATGGTTCATCTAATTTTATTTACAATTTAATGGGACTGCAATCTCTTTCTCATTGATCTACCGCTGGTGTGAAGGGAATGGGCACCAGCTTCCTCTGCCACTCAGCACAACCTCCTGCACAGAGTGGGCTTCCAAAGCTATTTTACATGAACGAGAAAATGAAAACTGGTCATTAGGAATCTATTCCATCGGGATCACCTTTCTTTGCTGAGTTTAAAGATGTCATTGCTGTATTTTGTTAATGCAGTTCCACTCTTTCTTTCTTTCTTTAGTTATCCCCCATCAGTATTCTTTTTATTATTATTGCTGTTGTGCTGGGTGGGGGTACACTGGAGCATTTACAAAGGTTCTTACAATGTATCAAATAAATCATACTAGAATTCACCCCCTCCATTGCTCTCTTTTACCTCCCCATTCCTGGAACAGTTTCAACAGGTACCATTTTTGCATTTGCATACATGTGTATACATTATTTGCACCACGTTCATCCTCCTGCCCCCTCACACCTTCCCCCCACTGGTGCCAACCCAGTGCACCAGGCACCCTCGGGCACTGGTAGAGATGAACCAGTTGGGGATGTAATACACATATGCATGGAAACAACACAAGGAATTTCCCTGTATAGCTATCTTTATCTCAAACTAGCAAAAACGCCATGTTTTTCTTATTATCTTTTATGTTTTTTTCTCCCCTTAGTGTGTGACCCATCTCCAGTAATAGAAAAAACAGTAAAGAAAAATATATGCATATGTGTATTACATCCCCAACTGGGTCATCTCTACCAGTGTGCTTCACTCCTCCTGGTCCCCTTCCCATAGTGGCCTCTGCTAATTAAAGATTACTATATTCACTCCTCTAAGTTTGGATTTCCTTCCCTTTCCCTATTCTTCCTGTGCACTTTCTCCCCTTAGTGTGTGACCCATGTCCAATAATTGCTGCATTTGTTTTAGGTCTATAATCCCCATATAAGGGAGAACATGTGATGTTTGGCCTTCTGAGTCTGGCTAACTGATTTTTTTTTTTAAAGCTTTTAAGTTTTTCCTGCGCAGAGTTCTTTCACCATGAGCCTTACTAGTTCCAGCTGTCTGCATCATGCTGTGCTCCGAGTCTCTGCTCGTGTCCCCAGACTTCTTCATCTAAAACGCTTCAGTTCAGCCTTTAAGTACTTTTTTTTTTTTTTGGTGGGACTGGGGTTTGAACTCAGGGCACTCTACCAGTTGAGCCACAGCTCCAGCCCATTTTGCTTTTGGAGATGGAGTCTTGAGAACTATTTGCCCAGGCTGGCCTCGAACCTCAATCCTCCCAATCTCAGCCTCCCAAGCAGCTAGGATTACAGGCATGAGTCCCTGGCACCTGACCCAGGTATTTCTTAAGAAAATTTTAATGGAAAAATCAGTATTTTGACTACACAAAAGTAAATGCATCTGTAGATCCCAAAACATTATAAACGATGCTCAAAGACTGTTAGACTGTGAGCGGGTATGTATGGCTACACAAAAAAGATAAGGGCTTAGTATAAAGAACATGTAAAAGGGCAAAGACTCCACAATAGGCAATGAGAAATAGAGGGCGATAGCAAGGCTAGTGACCACCTGAGAAGAGCCTTTAGGTCACTAGTGACCAGGGAGATGACGTCAAATATCCATGACATCCCTTCCGCACACATTAGGGCAGGATGCGGAGGGACAGCGACTGTCACCGCTAGCTGGTGGACACAGCATGGAGGGGTAAGCAATGGTAAGAAGGGCGGAGCCTATGCGTGCTCACCACCATGGCAAATAACTCTGGTTCAGCTGTTTTTTAGCTCACCTAGAAAAACAGATGATTCTGTAACAAAAGACCGTGTATGGTGCTCACTGATGCCGTAGGGGGTAGGAGGCCGGGAGGCTGGAGGCTGCTGGCTGAGCCCATCCCTGGCTTCCAGGGCTTCATGACACATGTTCCTATCTGCACGTTTGTCCTTCCTCTGTGGTGAGGGAAGGTCTGTACCCACACTCCTCTACCCACTGCCTAGGCACCTCCAGGCCACTTCCTGAAGGCACAGACTTCAGTCTCACCACAAAAGCCCAGCTGCAAGGACAGACCCAGGGCCAAGTTTAGACAGGGTGGAAGGGCAAATGAGTGAGGAGGCTTGTCACCCACTCTTCTCAGGACTCCTGATGGCACACGGAAGGTGCAAGACAGCAAGCTGCTGCCTTTGCTTTTTTTCCTTTTTGAGTGTGATTTATTTTTTGTGTGGGGCTAGGAATGGAATGCAGGGCCTCACGAATGAGCTGCTGCCTTGTTTTAAGTTTTCCTAGATGGAGCCTCCTTTGGAGTCAGTGATACTGTGACTAAAATGTCCCCTTGCAGACTTTCTCATTCTAGTGGGCAACAGGTAGCTTAAACTGAGGCTTCTCAGAGTCATGGCATCATTTCCTGTGGCTGAGCCCAGGTGCGCTTTCTCTAGATCAGATTCTGCAAACGGACCTGTCACCGTGGTGTTCTTTTCTTAATGGAGACAACTGAGTAACAAGTTTTTTAATCTAAATAATGTCCCCACGAGTTAAGACACAGAATTCTTGGGACGTCCATCAAATACATTCTACTCTGATAAATGAGAGGATTCCCCTGTCATTTTGGGGAAACTATTTGATGCTTCCTACTTGGTCCCTGTCCTGTACAGAAGTGCAGTTGATGGCTGGCCACCAATCAGGATTCTTTTTTATGCAGGGCAGGAGCTCTACCACCTGAGCCACTCTGCCAGCCCACAGGTCAGGATTCTCAAATTCCATTGCCCAGTTTCATCTTTTATTAAGTGCACAGCAAGGTGGTGCTTATGGTCTCTTCAGAGGATTCCTTCTTTGACTTATTGCTGTTCCATACTGAAGAAAATTGTGGCTCAGTCATCTTGTGTTTGGAAGGAGCGCATTGGGAGTACATGTCTCTATGTCTGCTGCTTTATTCGGTTAGATAATCAGAGAACATGGCTTGTGCACAATGTTGGTTCATTGCCCCATGGAAATGGCTGCCCTGAGGTGAGGGATAAAGTTCCCTCTTTGCTGGGGCTTTCAAGGAAGAATGGACATTTGGAGACCACACTGGTATCATCTTTGGGACCAGAGCTGAAGACATTGTCTAATGTGATCATAGTCAGTGTTAGGATTTACATTTCTCCTAAAATTTAGTATAGGAGAATATTCCTCTTGAAAACTCTGCCTACTTTTTCAGGGAATTGGTTGCTCAGAGACAAAGTATGGTTGTATAAAGAACAGGTTTTGGAGGGGGCTGGCAGAGTGGCTCAAGTGGCTCCAGCCTAGCAAGTGTGAGGCCCTGAGTTCAAACCCCAGCACCACCAAGAAAAAAAAAAAAAAAACCCAAAACACCAGGTTTTGGGGCCTAAGAGCCTTGGGTTCCAATCCTTATTTGACCACCTACTGAGTGAACTTGGTCACTTTAGTCTCCCAGTCTCAATCCTGATGACCTCATCTGAAAATGGGAATGATTCTTTGTGACGCTTTCATATAACCTACCAAATATACTGTAGGAAGTAAAAAAAAAAATGGCAGTTGTTAGTAGAAAATTTAAAGCTAGGGTTGGTATTTTACTATAGTGTCTGTTTTAATCCAGCTTTCTAATACAATACTCTTTTCTGTAAGTGATTTCTCATTAAGCTTGTAGGTTTTCCTTCAGTTATAGCCTTTCACACGCGTCTCAATGGTCTAGACGGCCTCAAATGGTTGAGGACAGGTGAGGAAGAAATAAACAGAGCATTGAATTCCAGGTAAATTGGGCCATTCTTGTTTCCTCAGCACCCACTCACAGGTTCTAAATCAAGCTTGAATCCCTGGCAGAGTGTCCTTGGGCAGGTCACTGCTGGAGGCAGTGTTGGTGGGACATAGGCTGATGTGTAGTTTACTGTGTCTTTTCTCATTTTCAGCACCCCCAAGTTTGGGAACTAAACAGTTCTGTATCTGCTGCCTGCACGGCAGAAGTTGTGGCCATGTGGCCTGGGGACAGACTTCACCTGCTACAGAGAGAGAAGCAGCTGTCCACTCCAGGTAAGAGGGAGCTGGTGCCTTGGTCCCCTGCCCCACAGGACTTCATGATTTGCTTGACACTCCTCTCTTTCTGAAGGAAGGAATGAGTGTCTGCCATGCCCAGGTGCAGCCCTGTTCTGTCCCTCACCCTGACATGTCCCTCTTGCAGGCTGCCATCTGGTTTAGCTGTGAGCACCTGCTTCCCCTGGGAGCATCTCAGAGCAGATGTTCTTCCAGCTGCAGGCAGGAGCGGGAACTTGGGGTAGCAGGGCCCCCCGTGGAGTCTTCAAGCTCTTCTTCCTGGACCCGCCCAGCCCAGCTCTCCTGCGCAGAGGCCATGCTGTCGCCCTCAGGAGCGCTCACTCTGCATGTGGAGGCTGGACTTTGATTCGGGTGACTCATGCCGAGGCACAATCCTCGGGTCCTCCTCCCTCGTCCGATTGCTTGCTTCCTTTCCTTTTATTTTTAACTCAGTGCCTAATTATCATCGTAGCCAAATGTGACTCGTTACACAGGAAGCAGAAGAGCGATGTGGCCCGGGGTTGCTGTCCTCCCCTGACTCCAGGGACCCTGGAAGGGCCCAGGTCCTTGCTGGCAGGACAGTGTCAGTGGGAAGGCTTGGGCAGCTGGATAGTGTCCACTGAGGACAGGAGGAACACACCCTGCTGGTGAGTGCATGTGACATCAGTCAATTGACTGATGTCAGTCATGGAGGTGGCCGAAGAGAGGCTAGAACCCTGGGGCAGGTGGGAGAGCAGTCCTCACGTCAGTGTGAGCCTGCACACCTGTGATTACATGACGTGCTCCAATTACAAAAATAAGGTAAGGTCTTTAATTTCCTTTAGACACAATCCTTGCTCAATTTTAGCAAGGATTTTACAGGGGAAAGAGTGAGCTCTTCAGTTTAAGTGAAACCTCCAGGTGGCCCTCCCAGCTGTCTCCTTCTTTTTTGTTTTTTTTCGGTGGCACTAGGGTTTGAGTTTAGGGCCTCATACTTGCTAGACAGGTGCTCTTACTGCTTGAACCGCTCCACCAGCCCTTTTTTTATGATGGGTTTTTTCGAGATAGGGTCTTGAGAACTATCTGTCCAGAGCTGGCTTCGAACTGTGATACTCCTGATCTCTGCCTCCTGAATAGCTGGGATTACAGGCGTGAGCCACTTGTGCTCGGCTCCCAGCTGTTTCCACGTTAGGAAGTCAGGCGTCCAGCTGACCCATCTCTGCGCTCACGAAAGCCTCTGCTCTCTAGATAGGGCTTTGTTGGTGTCTGATTTCTTGGCTGAACACAGACCAGAAAACTTTTGGCAGTGTCCCCAAACCCAGTCTTTCTAGACAAGGACTCTGTGGGCTCTGAGCAGACCCATAAGGAAAGTGAACCGAATCTTAATCTGATTGCAGTGAAGATAATTTCAGCTAATTCCCTGTAGCCATGGAAACTTCAGCTTTGTCCCCAAGATGATGGACTTTTCTGGAGGCCAGATGAGGTCACCCTAAATGCCAACACCTGGCACATACATGGGCCACGGTGCAGAATACAGTGATGTATAGAATATTGCTCTGGGATGTGCTTCAGGACTGAAATACCATGTGCACTCCTCTAAGTGGCCCAGAGCAGCACAGGAGAGTAGGGAACAAGTTTGGGAGAAAATAAAAGGCCAGGCCAGCACATCCATATTCCCAGTAGGCATTAGTTACGGTAGCCAAGAGGTGGAAATAACTCAAGTGGCCATCGAGGGATAAATGGATAAACACAACAGATGGAGTCCACGCCTAGTGGAATATTATTTGACCTTGAAAAAGAAGGAAAATAGGACATGTGGTACAATACAACATGGATGAAACTTGAAGACATTATGCCAAGTAAATAAACTGACAAATGGAGAAATGCTTCATGATTCTGACTCCACTCGTGTGGTATCCAGAGTGGTCAAATTCATATACAGTAGAAATATGGTTGCCAGAGGCAGACAGGGGGTGTGAATGGGTACAGAGTGTCGATCTTACAGGATGGAGAGATCTGCTGTGGGCACTTTTTTTTTTGTTGGCAGTACTGGGATTTGAACTCAGGGTTTCACCCTTGCTAGGCAGGTGCTCTACCATTCGAGACACTCTGCCGGCCCCAGGATGAAGAGTTCTGGACAGCATGCTAGCGAGAGTTGTCCACCTCATGAATGTACTTAATGCTGTAGAGTTGTATGCTGAAAAGTGACAAAAATGGCAAATTTTATGTTGCTATAATTTACCACAATTTAAAATTTGTTTTAAAAATGTTGCAATTTGGGCTGGGGGCGTGGCTCAAGTGGTAGAGCATCTGCCTAGCAAGTGTGAGGCCCTGAGTTCAAACCCCAGTACCACCAAAAAAACCAAATAAATAAATAAAAATGTTGCAATTTGTCTTTTAAAATAAGCAAAAGCAAAAACACTAGGCTGAAACCTTTGCTTCTCTGTGACTTCCTCAAAATCTAATGAACAAAAATCAAGCTGACAGCTAGCTCTGCCAAGTGCCTGGGATCTGAGCCGACCAAGAACTCTTTTGCCTGGCTTCTGTTGAGGCGCTGGGGCAGGTTGTCCTCTCTCAGTGAAGCTGGCAGATGCCACCAGGGGATAGGGGCCAGGTGAATGACACATTTGGGGCCCTGTCCTGTGGCCTCACAGCAGTTGGCCACTGGGAGACGTTTGGTCAGAGTCTGGGCGACAAGAATCACAGTCCTTCGAAGACAGTTCTCCTGTTTAACAGTCTGGAGCCCTGGGTAAGTCGCCAACCCTTTCTTTTCCTCTGTTTTCTCATAGTAAGTTCCATGTCCCTCTTTCTGTGACCTCTCCTTCCCCTCTTTCTTCTCTGCCTTCAGTCTCTCTTTTATTTCCTCAGGGGTCTTTCAGTCAGAGGTTACAGACCTTAGACCCGGGGGTCCTCAGCCTGGGTTGGCTGATTCTAGAAGAAACCCATCTGGTCTGATTCTCCTCACCCACCTGTGAGGTTCCAGCCCCTCCCTCCCTTCCCTTGCTTCTGTCTGTTAGGCAGTCTGCTTCTAGTCTGACCTTGGAGTCTACCAGAAAGTGTACCCATGGGACAGTGGCCTTGACTACTAACTATAGGGAAGAAAGTGTTGGGACCAGACCGCCACAAGAGCTCATGGGGCAACTTTGAAGATTTCGTTACCACCTTCTGTGCTGTTTGTGGCTTCCAGTCAAGATTGAGGAAGAACACTGACATGAAGTTGTTCACACTTTCAGGACTTAAAAATAGAAAAGCAAATCAAGCAAGTGGGGGTTGCACTCAAGGACTGTCACATCCCAGGGCAGGGTTGTCACCAGGTGGGGTGGGGGGCAAAGAACAGGCCCCACCCCTGAGTCCTCCCTGATGTAGGAGAAATTTGTTTTAAAAGGAAATGAGGGAAATTGTATTTTATTAACTAATTTATTAAATTACTTATTTTGTTTATTTTTGGCAGTGCTGGCATTTGAACTCTGGGCCTAGCACTTGCTAGGCAGGCACTCTACCATTTGAGCCATGCCCTCTAGCCTTTTTTGCATTAGTTATTTTTCATATCGGATCTCGTGTTTTTGTGCTGGCTTCTCTGGATCTCAATCTCCTACCTGTGCTTTCCATGTAGCTGGGATTACAGATGTGCACTACTGGTGACACCTGGCCTGTTTGTTGAGATGGGATCTGGTAAGCTTTTTTTCTAGGCTGGCATCCAACCCTGATATTCAAGGTCTCTGCCTCTTGAATAGTTGGGATTACAGGTGTGTACTGCCACACCCAGCCCAAAGTCCCAAAGGGGAAAAAGAATCTGAAATAGGTGAATTCTTTCTGTTAATTTTGTTTAAAAACAGCAGTCTTGTCCCACACACAACCTTTTGAAAGTCTCCTCTGAAAAGGAGTCATGGGTGGTAGCTTGTGGGCTCCGTAGAAAGGTACAGCTGTGGACAAGGGCTTCATGTGGCCACTCTGCCTGCCCACTTCAAAGACCCAAGTCTTTTCATCTTAGAAATGCTTGCACTTCTGGCACAATGAATGCACAATTACAGAACAAACAGACTCTTCTCACAGCTGCTTCTCTGTGGCCACAGAGATGTCACTCATTGTATTTTGGTTTTTCCATTTTTGCCTCTGTTCTGAGCACAACTCAAAGTGGCAAAGAATTTTTGGGACCTACCTATGGTCAGTCTCTGCCACTTACTAGCTGTGTAATCTTTCCTCTGTACTATTCTGAGCCTCAGTTTCCTCACCCATGAAAAGGGAACACTTGTGTCTTAGCCTGTCCCCTCACTCAGAGTAACCGGAATTTGAAGAGTCTCTGTGTGAAAGTGATGTGGAAACCACGAAGAGCCATGCAAATATGGACTTCAGTGTTCCTGTTGCCTGCACTGTCTTTCTCTCTCTTCCAAACTAAAACAAGTGCCACAGAGCATGCCTGAGGATTGGGAAGCCTCTCGGAGGATGTGACAGTGGCCAGTGGGCTTAGCCTGCTGGAGGGAACACGTGTTCGGGTCACTGGGAGAGCCTACGTAAAGGCCTCTAGGCCATTGAACTTATCCTGGGTGTGAGGCTGCTGTCAGGCTGGAGGAGTGTCCTCTTCCTGCTTGGAGTTTGGCCCAAAGCTGGGCCACAGCCACAAGAGACAATTGTCATAAGTCACAGAAAAAGGGGAGGCTATACCACAGGTACATGGCCAAAAGATGACAAGAAGACCAGACCAGCTGTGATGCCCTGACTCACCCGCAGGAGTTCTGACCTTTACTTTGGACAGTATGGAGGGACATGGAAGTTTGGGGGACAACACAGGAGATCTGAGCAAAGGACTGGCATGATTCGTGTCGTTAGGTGTGGTATGGTGAATAGACTGGGGTGGGGACACTGGAGCACTTCAGATGGCCTCACGGGAGTCACTGAATGGTGAGGTGACCCTTCTCTGACTTGTCAGAGCCAGGTCTTCCTTCCCTGCCCAGTCCTGTGAGGACTTCACTGACTTTTCCTGTCCTATCAAAGGAAGCTAAGTCTTTCCTTACCTGTATTTTGAAAGCACATAAAACAATCAAAACATTTTACAACGGTTATTTACAGTTTTGCTCTGTTTTCCAGAGTAGAGGACAAACAAGTTGGAATTAGATTGTGTCCTGTTTTATTTCAGTGGAGCTGGAAGCCAGCACAATGTTGGTGTCAAGTAGGTCATCAGCAAATGTTTGCTCCATGAAGCAGTGAGGGGACGAGGCAGTGCTGGTGTGAGTGTGGAGGGGAGGGTGGCATGGGAAATGTCCAAGAAACCAATGCATGACCCACTGGATGTAGAAGGAAGGCAGAGAAGAGGTGTCTTCTTTGGGTGTTTGGGTGATACCTTTCAATTAGAAGGCCAAGGAAAAATATTTAAGGAAGGAAGTGAACTCCAGCTTTTGTCACTTATTAAAGAAAAAAACATCTGTCAAACCCCTCAGATATGCTAGGCACCATACCAAGTGCTGGTGATTCTGAGGTGAAGTAGGTCAGGATGCCTGAGTACCTCACAGTTACTTGAGAAACAGAAAAATGACAATTGAGTGTGTTATACAAAGGTTGTGTGCTGTGATCAGTGAGATGACCAAGCTCTCATTCTGTCTGTAGAGTCAGGGATGTGAGTAGAACCGTGGAGTTTTCTAAGCCAAAAAAGAGCATTTCATGTAGAAAGAAAAGCACGTGCCTGGAAACATTCTGGAATACTCAGGGAGCAGGAAGAGATTCAGTGTGGCTCAAGAGAAAGGGCCAGGTTGGCCATTGGTAGGCAGTGAGGTGGACAAGGTCAGGCCATGTCATGACACAGGTGATTGGCCTGCTCAGGAATTTGGGGTGCTCCTTGCAGTCACTGGGGGGTCGGAGGATACTTCTAAGCAGAGGTGATAGGGTCAGACTTGTGTTAGGAATATGGTGTGGTCTAGGAGCCAGCTACAAGCATACAAGTTGGGCTTGAGGCACAACATATCAGGTATAGGAGAAGAAGGTGGGAGTACGGCTTGAGTAGCACGGGGAGATTGGTTCAAGAGGGCCAGGCTGAGGCGTCGACATCAGGCTTTCTGGACAGCAGTCCAGGGAGAATGGTGACATGTCCACAGGCCACCTACAAGGAAACACCTATGTGGAAATACCTGTCCTGTTGGAACAGCTGAGGAGGTTGGTTTTAGAATCCTTCTGTACTCTTAAATTTTTAAGGACCTCAAAGAGCGTTGGTTTATGAAGGCTGTATCTGTCTATTGAAATGTATGTTATTAGAAACTAAAGCTAAAAACTTTAAAAATGCAGTTATTTTTAAATAGCAATAAGCCCCCAGGTGCAGTAACATAAATGACATACCTTTATGTAGGGTGCAAAGTGGCACCAAGGTCGGATGGGGTGAGGATGTGACCATGTTGTTGACCTTGGCAGTTAGAAGGGACTAGTAATCTTAGGGTTTTCAGGGTTTCAGTGGTGGTGTCTGCCATGAGAGGGCCAAGATGAGCATGTGGGGACTGCAGCAGAGGCCTCAAGGTTAGCCGTGCAGTGCTCTGCACCTGCCAGGCTCCAACCTTGTGAGCTCTGTTCCAGCCCCTGCACGACAACACAATGTCAGAGTGACAGCCTTGGCCAGAAATATGTGTGCTGCTAAGGATTCAGCTGATCTAGAGGTGAAGAACCTGGAATGCTGAAAAGAGGATGGGGTGGAAGAGAGACGTGTCAGAAGCAGAGAGACATGTCAGGGAGGAGTTCTAACAGTGAAAATGGAAGGTGACCATCATGGTTACACCCTGGAGAGTCATGCACTATTCATTTATTCAGAGCCAATAAACTGTGCCAGGCACAGTTGTAGATGCTGGGGATGCAGTAGGCAGCATAAGAGGCAAGTTGATCTGGAAAGATCTTTTCCAAAACACATTTTTAATAAGAAAAGCAAGTTGCTGAGCAATATACATGTATAGAGAATGGTATCATTTATGTAAAAAGAAAACAAAACCACGCTACACCTATATTTGTGTGTGCGTCTATTAAAACGTGAGTAAGTGCATAGACCATTTGCTGGGGAGAAACAAACAGATGGTTAGTGGTGGGGGGGTCTGGGGGCACCAGGCATGAATATACTTCTGTATTGTTTGAATTTGTCACAGTAAATATATTTTCACGAGTATGCCTGCATTAGAAGTCTTTGTGGGTAGAAAAGAGAGACCCAGAGTTCCTACTGGTTTTTCCTTCTGAAAACACCTGTTAGATTATAGCCCTTTTGTCTCACCGCCCCGCAAGTTGAGGCCGAGTAAGGGTGTTCAAAGAGGAATTTGGGCTAGGATTTTCTATTTTCAAGGTTTGGTGTGGTCTGGATGAAAGCTGTGCCAGAGGATGGAGCTGAGTTTCGGAGGCAGTGCCACCTTCCTGGGAAGAGAACATTGCAGTTTGCCCCCCTCCTCCCATATTGTCTGCGGGGACTGTCAGAACAAAACAAAGCACCACAGGCTGGGGGCTTTCATGGCAGTGTCTCACAGCTCTGGAGGATGGCAGTCCCAGATCAAGGTGTCTGTGGGTTTGGTTTCCTTTGGAGGCCTCTCTCCTTGGTCTGAAGACAGCCACTGTTCACCCTGCCCTACCACACAGACGTCCCTCTACATGTGTCTGTGTCCAAATTTCCTCTTCTTAGGACACTAGTCTTTGGATGAGAGCCCACCCTAGTGACCTCATTTTAAAGGCCCTCTCTTCCAAACACAGCCATGCTCTGAAGTTCTGGTATTTGGGTGGACACCATTCAGCTCCATCAGAACCTCAGAAATGTTTCCTTGGCCTGTCCTGAGTTTTGGGTGCCCTACTCAGCCCCTGCCACCCGGGCTCTGGTGGGCACGGGGGATGGACTGAAGCCCTCAGAGAACACACTAGTAAAAGCAGCATGACTGTATCTGTGGCTCCCTAGCCACAATGAGCAACTGAAAGTCCCCAGGGGGGACCAGGTTCAATGTGATTTCCTGAATGATAAAGCTGGGAGGGAGGAGCACATATACAGTCACCCGGCAGCCCAGAAAACACCTGTTGGATGCTTTTGCTTTTTAGCTCATGCCTGTGGGGCTCTGCCAGGAGGAAGCCAGGAGCAGGACCTGTGCCGGGATCTGGCCAGCAGAATATGGAGCGTTCAAGCAAGATGGAGTTTTTCCAGAAGTTGGGCTACAACCGGGAGGACGTGGTCAGGGTACTGGCCAAGCTGGGTGACAAAGCCCTGGTCAACGATGTGCTGCAGGAACTGATCCAGACAGGCAGCCGCCCTGGGCCCCAGGAGGGCTCAGTTAGCAGCACTGGGCCCCTGCTTGTCCCCCGGGGCTCCTGCAGGATCTCAGATTCTGCCCAGCGGGATGTGAGGTCAGCCTTGGAAGAGGACTGTGACGACCCGGCCAGTTCTCTGCGGCCCATTGTGATTGATGGCAGCAACGTGGCAATGAGGTAGCATATCCTGCTTTTCTTCATCCTGAAGCTGGGGGTGGGGCCTGGGGACCCTGAGAACTGTCCTCCTCTCTGTGGCTTGGTCCAAAGTTTTGGGGCCAGTGAACCAAGCTTCGAATCCCTGTTCCTCTTCTAAGTAGGTGTGTGAATTAAGCAAGTCATTGAATCTCTCTGAGCCTCACCTTCTCCATCTGTAACATGGGAGTAAGCTTCCCTAAGTGGATGAGAGTTGAAGCTGCATGAATCATGGTGCAATTATTAGATCCATCCAGAGGAGCTTCCTTCTTGGGACAAGGAAGGGGTAATGGGGAGGAGCCCAGGCTCAGATGTTGACAGATGTCACCTTCTTTGGACTCTTTCCCTAGCCAGCTGCGTGACTGTGGGAAAGCAAGAGACACTTGGTTCCTCTTCTGTGCACACGGCCAGTAGAGTTCTCTCCTGCTACCCTCAGAATTTGAGATCAAATGGGAAGGAGTACTTGAATGGCGTTGCAAGCTGCAGAGTTGGTGGGGACGTGAGGTTGCAGTTCCCTTGTTAGCTTTGAGACAAGCAGTTGAGAGAAGAGTTTGGTCTTCCGCTCCTCCTTTGAGCTGCAGATAGACACAATGTGACCATTTGAGTCTTGGCATCTTGAAACGTTTGGGGATTTGAGTATCACATGGTATGGTGCCTGGCTGGCTAAGCTCTGCTGGGACAGGATCTCCACAGCTTACTTCTGGATGGGATGGGATCCTCCCACCACTCGGCTGAATTACAGCTGGGCACAGGGTAGAATTATAGGAAATTGTTCACTGACAGCTGTAAAGATATGTGCTTCCCTTTTTAAAGGTGGAATTATGGGTAGGAATTCAGAAAAGCAGTTATCAGCAGCTCCAAATGTGTCAACAGGCAACGCTGAGTTTCCTCTGGGGACAGAAGTTTGGAATGGTTCATCCTGACATGGCTCAGCCTTGGGGACTGTCCCCGTACCCCCTGTGTGCTGTGTCCTAAGAATTTTTGCTCCATTTTAGCTGCCCAGGTCTCCCTGGCCTTGATATCTGTACAGGTGATGGAAATTCACTTCTTTCTGGAACTCAAGAACTGGGTGTGGTGGGGGAGGGGGCGCCCTCCATTCTCACCCATGCCCCTCTCCACCTGAGAGAGAAGCCTGCGATCCTGATCAATTTAAGATCTCTGGTGTGTTAAAGGGACATTTAAGAATCCATAGGCTCTAAGGGTCCTGGGAAGTGTGGAAGGGTTTGAGAGGGGTCTTGGCCTCTCAAAGATACAGGCAAAGCTCTTCTCTCATGGGGCATCAATTAAAAGAGAGCTTTGAATGTAAGTCAATCATCGTGTAAGTCAATGCCCTTCCCAGCCCAAGGATGATATGAGTTCCTTAGTTCCAAATCAAAACAGCAGAATGGCCACAGGGTAAAAAGACTACTTTGGGGGGCTACAGCATTCTGTTTATGGGAACAGAAAATATTTTTAGGATTTGTTATGTGAGGATGCTGGTGGAAAGAGTCTCTGTTGCTGCCTGAAATTGAAATTTAAACCATGTCCTGTATTTGCACCTGACCATAAAGTGTCCTGACTAAATCCATGTGGTCCCACCACCTCCACCCCCACCTCCCACAGCTGTAATCGGTTAGTCCTTTCCTGCTCAATCTGTGGGCTACAAAAAGAAACCATTACTCAGACTTAGTGCAAAGAATGTGCACTAAGTGTTTTTATACACTTGCTGCCTACGCACCACCTCAATTAACCAGAGTGTGTTTTCTGTGTGTGCACATACAGGCATGCACAGACATATGTACACACACATTCACCCACACATCCACAAACATCCCTGCCCCTTGTTTCCTGGATCCCAATAGTTAGAAAAAGAAACAAACTGTTCTAGGATCACTTGATTGTGGGGGAACTTTACTTGTTCCCATCAAAGGCAAGTCCTGAGAGAGTGGGGACCAGAGATTCCGCTCCATCCCTGCTGCTCCTTCTCCTATAACGATGTCTAGCTACTCAGTCCTCCAATGGGGATTTCAACGAGACCCTGTGCCCCACGGCTGCCAGGTCCTCAGAGAGACCCAAGCACAGGCTGGCCCTTTACAGAGAACATTTATGATTGAAACCTGAACTGGTGTCTCATTATTGTTCACCTTAGAATTCAAAGTGGTTTCTGAAGATCCTCCCTGAGGTTTGCATGCTCACAGACATTCTGTCCTTTGTTTTGGAAAGTGAGGCTGCTTAGCACACTGTCTGGCCTAGGAAGAGCTTGCAGACTGAGTGTGACACATGTCCTTTCTACCAAGAGCAGACAAGAAGCATGGCTTCCACATGGCATCCTCCATGGTGTCTCCTGCTGGCTGTGCTTCTGTCTCCTGCAGCCTGTGGTGGTCTCTGCCTTTGCTGACAGAGAGCAGTAAGCTGGTTTTTCACTGGCAGCACTTTTCCTCATTGTCTTTCAGAAGTCATATTCCAGTGATCTTACAGACTGTGCTCTACTTCTTTTCTATTGCTTTCGGGCAGCTCAAAGCAACTCTTATTTACTGGCTAACAACAAGCATTTATTTAATCGCCTCCAGTTCTGGAGGACAGCAGTCTGACACAGGGTTCCTGGCTAAAATCAAAGCGTCGGCAGAGCTGTGTTTCTTTCTGGAAGCTCTAGGGGAGTCTGTTCTCTTGTTTTTCCCTGCATTCTCCACTTCTGGTCCCTTCAAAGCCAACAGTGGCTTGAAATGATAACACAGTGTGGCACGTGTGTGCAGCTATCTGTTAGAATCTCTGCAGTTTTTAATAGAGACTCATAGGACCTGTGATCCTTAGAATCTTAGGGACCGCTGATGTAGAATGAGAAATTATTGATATTACATTGTTTTATAGCCAGGGACTTCTTTTGCCTCTGTCTTTCAGGATTTAAGTCACCTACCCTCTTCAACACAAAGAATGATAGGGTGCCTATCAGTCCTTGAATGTGACCCTCTCAGTTGCCCAGGAAGGGACTTGCAGTGTTTGGCCAAGGTCAACACTGCCTCACATCAGACCTGACCTCTGGAGGTATACTCCCTGTCCAGGCCAACCTATGCAGACATTTCCACGGGCTTGTCTCCTGAGTTTATCAGGATGTTTAACCCAAGGCCGTTGGTTATGGCTGAATCCAGAAGGCCTGTGCTGGCTGCTCTCTGTGGGTCAGCAGAGTGGTTATAGGTCAAAGACTTTTTACAAGTCATGGGAATGTATTTGTTCAGAGCACATTGAAGTTGGGCTGCTGTCCTGAAGTCATTTGAATAGAAGGAACACAGTGTGTTCAAGCTATCTCACAATGAACTTAAAAAAACCCCTGTCTCCTCATTGTAACAACACAAGGAGTCCACTGGGCTCCTATAGACAGGACTAATGGCTCCATTTATCATTTCATAAGCAGTGGGTCAATTAATGAGAATTCTAAGTTGCAAAGTAGTGAGTGTCAGTCCAGCACCTGGGAAGCCAGGCCTCGAATGTGCCCTATGGTCTTGTATCTCTGTGTCCTTGTAGGAAAACAGGTCAGAGGCAGGGGTTGGAGCGTAGTGCAGCACCGAAGGGCCGCCTAAGACAGCTTTGTGAGGATAGAACTTTCTAGGCCTGCACTATCTGCTACGGTAGCCACTTGACTCATGTGGGTTTTGAGCACTTAAAATCTGACCAGTGCATCCGAGGACCTGAATTTTAAATTTCATGTCCTTTTAGTTCATTTGAACTTGAATGTAGGTGGCCATGCCATGGGGCTGTGCAGCTGGGGCTTTTCAGCTGACCAGGAGCTGTGTAGCTTCTGTGAGTTCCATTTCCCACCTCACCCTCTGTGCCTTCTTTTGGTAAGGGGAGGGTGAGACTGGGGTTTGAACTCAGAGCTTTGTGCTTACAAGGCAGGCACTCTACTGCTTGAGGGGCACCTTCAGTTCATTTTTGTTCTGGTTATTCTGGAGATGGGATCTCTCAACTTATTTGTCCAGGTTGGCCTCAAATCACAGTCCTCCCCACCTCAGCCTCCCAAGTAGCTAAGATTATAGGTGTAAAGCCACTCATGCCCAGCTTTTCTTACAAGGGATTACTCTTCTTCTTCAGAGGTTCAGAGAGAGTAAGGGACTTGCCCGAAGACACAGAGCAGTAAGGGCCAGCGCTGGATTAATTGTTCCTTCCAGGGCTGCCTGTATTCCATACCTGTGGCTCTTTACCCATCTGACTTTGGAAAGGGCTGAGGGTGGGAGACTCTGGCCCTAGAGGCTAGAGCCTGCCTGGGCTGACTAGAGCTCTGCCAGGAACTACCAACTGCAGACAGGATGTGCCAGGCCCCAGCTCTCTTCCCCAGAGGCCTGATGGGACTCACTCCTGCTGCTGCTGCTGGCCCCTCAGGTCACATGTGTGCATTGAATGGTGGCTCTGATGGACAGACGTGGCTTTCCAAGTACAATCCCTGTGCCTTTGAGGGGTGTGTGTGTGTGTGTGTGTGTGTGTGTTTATGAGAGAGAGATAGAAGAAGAAATGTCAGCTTATGTCACTCAGCTGAACACCTGAGTTGCTAGACACCCAGCTTTAAGAAAATGTCCAGCAACTTTTCCAAAAGAAGGTGACCTTCACCGAGAGTCTGTTAGAAGCTGCATGGCAGCAATGTTTGGGAAGTGTGCAGATTCTCAGGAGCCACTGTGGCCAATGTCCTTGTGCGGGGCTGGTGAACCCATAAGCACCCAACCTGTTTCACATCCTGTAGGCAAATCTAGAAGAGGCGGGACTTGAAGTGTGGAGTTTGAAGGGAAAACACCTGACAGTTTCACATCCTTCCACTACTCCAGAGGAGGCTTGTTTGAATGTGTGCTCTTTTGGGGGCATATTGGACTTTTCATCTGGGTTTTTGTTTATATTTTAAACTCTTAGAAAACCTGGTGGAGTGTTTCTTCTGGGGGAAGGAATTGTTCACAGAAGGAAGCTCAGACAGAGAACGCACCATTTCCATCAGGCCCCTCTCAGTGGGCTATGGGAAAGAGACG